CAAATTACTGACCTCTGTCATCATTTTAGGAGGGGGAACTTGCACAATCGGTGGCTGACTAAATACTTTTTTGCCCCACTGTATTTAGTGCAGATGGATCAGTGACAACCGGTTCAGCCATGCAGTCTCTTGGTTGGCTTCATCAGATCCACAGTTGATTGCTGTTTGTGTTCCTGTGTGTGCATCCAGAGAAATGTAAATTGTAACTTTGCAACTGTTCAGTAAGGCGTGCAGGCTGTGAACAACTTTTCAGTTTCTGATAAACTTTAATGTACCTTATATTATTGTGTGTATGCATGTGAACCACATCTTTGTGCTGCCTTAAGAAGCAGTAAACCCATCAACTGTGTCATGATTCTTTGTCTGCATTGAGCCTGGGGGAAACATAGGGAGTGCATTCGAACCGATGTGATTATCACCAAGTGTAGCTTGCATGGTAGTTTAGAGCCTTCACCACAATAGCAACACAGCATAATGAACAGGATCCATACTGTCTTAATATCATTCTTTGCAGCAGAGACTTCAGGCTTCAATGATGGCTGCAGATAGAGAACCAGGGAAACTCAGCTGCAGCTTTTCAGACTGATTAGTAGTCTGAGGAGCAGCCCAGAACCCTGCTCTGTCTCTTCTGCAAGTACTGCAAAGGTTCTGTTGAGGTTTCCTTGTGTGTAACGGCACACACAAAATACCTAAATCAGGGAGGACTAGAATGTATGCTAGGGCAGCGGTCCCCAACCCCCGGGCCTTGGACCGGTACTGGTCCGTAAGTCGTTTGGTACCGGCCGCGAGAGTTGAGGCTCAGGTGTGAAATGTATGGTTTTCAGGGTTTTTATCGGTTTTCAGCGTTATTTTGTTATCGTTTTTATCGTTAACTTGGTTTTCCTGGGTCTTTTCAAGTGGGTTATGAATAAATCTTCTTTTTTTCGGTACCGGTACTAGTTTTATTTTGTTGTATTCATCCGCGACACCTTAAAGGCCGGTCCGTGAAAATATTGTCGGGCATAAACCGGTCCATGGCACAAAAAAGGTTGCGGACCGCTGTGCTAGGGTGTTACTGATTGACAGTGCATATTGTTACTGAAATCTGTTGAAGCCTGAGCTACAACCAAAATTAGGCTTTACAGAGGTATACTGAAAGGCTACAACTACTAACTAGCAGATTCAATACATCTGCATAAGTGCAGACACCCCAGATTTCAACAATGTATAACCTTAAAGCCCAGAGACATGCCCACAGAACAAGTAACTAAATAAAGAATTATTTCAATTGAAGTCAAAAAAGTGATGAAAGTGGAAGTAAAACTTGGGTTACCTTGTAGACATCATAGGAGTCAATGCGCGTATCAAAACACATGTAGAGGTTGTTGAGCATCTTCACTACTTGCAATGGAGTACAGGACGCAGATATAGAGGTGAAGCCCACAATGTCTGAGAAAAAAATGGTCACCTGGAACCAAAGGTAGAAAAGTAGTTCCATTACTATATAGAATTACTGTTTGTAGTGGAAATATAATAGAAAACATCTAAAAGAGAAATAAAATCTTCAGACGGAGAAAACGAAGTTGAACTTGTACCAGAATTATGGGAAGATAAAACTACAGAGAAAAAAAGGAACATCTTGTGATCCAGAGCGTATGGCGTTATGTGTCAGACATGGTGACCGCAGTGTTGTGCCATGGGGATGTATGGCTGCTAAAGGAATGTGCCACTACTGTTTACTGTTGATGCGACTGCTGAGAAGCAGCAGGATGAATTCTGTAGTATACAGGACTACACTTTCTGCTCAGATTCACCCAGATGCTTATAAACTGAACTGAGTGACTATGAATAACAACCAAAAGCAATTTTAAAGTTTCTCAAGGCAAAGAAACTGTTGATTGCGTTGTTGTCAACTCATGAGAGCATGCTTTTCAGTTATTAAAGATGAAACCAAAAAGAGGGAGACACACAAACAAGCAGCAGGAGAATGGCTGTTGTAAAGGCCTGGCTAAGCAACTCAAGACATGAAAGGCAGTAACGGAGGATGTACATAGGTTCAAGACTTTAGGCAGTCACTACCCGAATAAAAAAAAGTTTACTTGGATATTAGGAAACATTCTTGTATAAAATTTTTTAAATTGCTTACAGATGTTTTCGGATGAAAGATGTC